TCCAAAGGTGGTGGGTGCTTGGAATTTGCATGAGGTGTGCGATGAGTTGGACTTGAATAAGGACCTTGAAGTCTTTTTAATGTTCTCCTCCGTTACAGCCATTCTGGGGAACTTTGGCCAGGCAAACTATGCGGCGGCCAATTCCTGCCTAGATTCCCTTGCATCGTGGCGCCGATCTATAGGGTTGTGCGGACAGAGCATTCAATGGGGTCCGTGGGTGGAGCAAGGCATGGCAGCAGGCCTGAAACCCCTTCTGGAGAAAGCAGGTATGAGGGGAATCACTGACGATCTCGGCATAAGAGTTCTGCAGGATGTGATGAGAAGTGGCGATCGTTACGGTGTTTTGATGTGCCAGTCATTCCGGTGGCGCAACTTCCTCATGCGGTGAGTCAGCCCTCGAAATATTCACGGTATATTTGCAAGCTATTTTATTTTGGGTCACTAAGATATTTGCTTTGTTGCATGAGTGTTTCGTACAATCGTTCTCAGGTATGACAGGGTGCCCGCGTTGCTGAGAAACGCTACTCGTGACTTCCACGTAACTCCCACTTCTCTTCCTATCTTAAGTTCAATGAATTCTCAAGACAGGCACGCGTTTGTGGAGAAGAAGGTTATCGACTCTGGGGCTTACTGCGCCTCCGGCTATGGATCAGCCCCTGCAGGAGTTGGGCATAGATTCCATTGGCGCAGTCGAACTTAGAAACTCTCTATCGGGCACTCTTGGGATCAAGCTGCCAGCTACTGCTATGTTTGACTACCCAACTGTCGGAGCGATGATCGGCTACGTTAACAAAACCATAGCTGAGCAGTTTTCAGGCCACAATCTTACGGGATTGTCAAGCGGTTTTGGAAAGGTGTCAAAGGCAGAAAGGAGAGTGGGCACAATTGCCGTCGTTGGAGCGGCATGCCACATGCCCGGTGGTTCAACAACTACAGCCCGCTTCTGGGAAATGCTGCAAGCAGGAACAGACTGCATGAATGAAATCCCACTGGATAGGTGGAACATGTTTGCCTTTTACAATCGTGATCCGGATCATCCTGATACAACTTATGCAAAGCTTGGTGCTATGGTCGAGCAGCCATTCCACTTCGACAATTCACTATTTAACATTAGCAATATAGAGGCACAGGTGATGGATCCTCAGCAGCGTCTCATGATGGAAGTTGCGTACGATGCTGTTTGGTCTGCTGGCTTCGAGAAAACGGACCTTGTTGACCAGGAGATTGGCTGCTTCGTTGGTTGCTGTAATTCAGACTGGCACATGCTTGAACTGCCTTCTGGATCGTTTACAGGTGCGTTGCGCAGGGTCTCCACCTTACTTTAGAGGAAGGATGTAAGCGCATAGACAGCTCTTACGGCACCGATCCATGCAACTACATTTGTATTTCGCAAGTTACCGACTTAGCCCGCCGAAACGACAATTATTATGGAGTGTTTACTGTCGGCTGGAGCAGGGACTGGTGGAGCGCCGTCAATCATCTCGAACAGAGTCTCGTACGTATTTGGCCTAAAGGGACCTTCATTGACAGTCGACACTGCGTGCTCTTCTTCCCTCGTCGCCCTGGATAGTGCAGCTACGAAAATTGCAGAAGGCTGCTGCACAGGTGCTCTGGTAGGAGGCGTCAATATAATGTTGTCTCCAAACCTGTTCATTTGTTTTGCAAAAGCCCGTATGATTTCGCCAGACTGCCGTTGTCGATCGTTTGACCAGCGGGCGAATGGTTATGCACGGGGTGAGGGTGTTGGAATGGTCTTCTTGCGCCCACTTGAGGACGCCTTGAAGGATGGAAACCCCGTTTTTGCCACCTTAAGAGGCTCTGCTGTAAACCATGGAGGGAGGAGTGCAAGCCTTACTGCTCCCAGCGGTCCTGCCCAGCAAGCTGTCATAGTCGCATGCCTGGGACAAGCAGGGGTGCAGCCACACGAAGTGACAATCTTGGAGGCCCACGGTACAGGTTAGTGGCCAAGCCTCCACATTTACATATGTAACAATACCACGTACTAACGTAACAAACTGTGCAGTGCTGCGCTAAGCTAGGAGACAATTTTTATCCCCACTATTCATTTCGTGTGCAACTTTTTCAGGCACCCCTCTTGGCGACCCAATAGAGATGGGCGCCGTTCGTGCAGTCTATGGTCTTGGAAGGACTGCTGAAACTCCTCTTTTTATTGGGGCCCTAAAGAGCAATATTGGGCATTTGGAGGGTGCTGCAGGAATAGCAGGTCTAATAAAGCTTATGCTCTGCCTTCGGCATCGCGAGATTCCTCAAAATCTTCACTTTGAGAAGCTCAATTCCTACATTGAGCTGGACGACATGCCCGTGGTTTTCCCAAAGTCGTCGATGGGTCTAACGGGTAGTACAAAGCTGCTTGGCGCTGTGAGCTCCTTCGGTTTCGGCGGTGCCAACGCTCACGCAGTGCTAGAGGAATATGTTCAGCTGGAGACGACTGCAAGGCGGAGAGAGCCAATTGCATGGTCCCGCAAGAGTTTCAATACCCGCCAAGTCTTGCACCCTCATGTCGCTCGGGTCCAAGAACTGGACAACGGCGACATCATATACGAAGGAGAGGTCAGGAGGGAGCACTACGAGATCATGGCACAACATAAGCTTCACGAACGCCCTGTGATGCCGGGAGCCTTGTACCTGGAAACTATGGCTGCGGCAGTTAGCTGCAAGCGCTCCAAGCCCTCAGGATGCATCTGCCCGGTTGAGGTAGACCATTCTAAGGTCGTCATATTGGAGGAAGTAGAATTCCAGCGCCCCATGCTCCTGGAAAAGCCAGTCACAGACGGTTTACATGATTCTCAGCGGCTTTTCGTTACTATGTCCCCAGGAGGCCAGGTGACTCTCTCGAGCTCAAAAGGGGAAGACGATGAAACATTTGTTCACGTCTCTTGCCGCTACATCAAAGAAGAGCAACAGGAGAGAGAAACGAGGTCATCCGCAGAGCTACTGAAGATTTTCGAAACTGACAAGAATCGCCAAACTGTGGATGTGGAGCAAATGTATCAGCGTATTAAAGACAATGGGCTAGTACTCGGTCCAAAGTTCCGAGTAGTGAAGGCCATTGAGTGTGGACCTTCCAGTGCGAAACTGCGTCTCGAGCTGCCTGGTCCCATTTCCATTGGCGAAACTGGCTACCGTTTCCATCCTTGCGTCCTTGATGGAACTTTTCAAACAGTTGGGGCATTGGTGAGGTCGCATGACCTAGCAGCAGCAAAGAGGGATTCGCTTCAGCCTCGTCCTTTCCGACTCATGATTCCTTTCATGATTCAGCGGGTAGAAATGCGATCTATGAACGGTGTGCATAAAGCTCTCCTCGCTCACGTCTCCCTCGTGAAGCGTGATGCAACCCAAGCAGTGATGGACATTGAAATTATGACTGAAGATGGGGAATGGGTTGCAAGTATTGTGCGCCTTACGATGAGGGCGGTCGACCCCGTCCCAGCAGCTGAAGTTCCTCGAGAGCTACTATGGCGATCGCAATGGCAAAAGTTTAGATCGCTTCCGCATATTCCTGAAGACGCCAAATTGGAGGTTGTCTTGATTGACTTCCGGGAGAAAAAGGACGCCACCTTTATTCATCTTGAAGAGATCATGAAGCCATTCAAGTGCACACTTGTGAACAGTCCGACTGTTGAAGAACTTATGCCCATTCTCGTCGAGTCACGGGAAGCTTCTAAGGAAGTTCCCAAGCTTATTGTTGTTGCAGCAACAACGGATGCGGCAAGTGACATTTCCGTTGTTGTCGGTCTTACGATTCTCTGCAAGGCAGCGCGCCGGGCCATAATCTCTGACAAGACAGCTGTGCTCAGACCCATATGGGCCATAACTAGGGGCCTTTTCACCTCGGACGGGAAACGTGGCGGCTGCTCCCAAGCAGGCATTTGGGGTTTTGCACGCGCTGTACGTTTGGAAACTGCAGCCCAATTGGGTAGGCTAATTTCGCTTGGGTGCGTGGATATCGCAGACGCAACCAGTTTGCCTCAGACCTTGTATGCATTGGCTTCGCTTCAAGAAACACAGCCTTATGAGCCGGAGCTTGTGGTGTGTACAAAAGTTGCCCAAGAAGTGGTTGATGGCGACGCCCCCGGTGACAGTGGGAATGAGGCACTACCAGAGCCTCAACCTGAAGAGCCTTCCATTTTTGTTCACCGGCTTGCAAAGTGGAAGAAGGGTGTTCGAGGGCCTGTTGAACTTCATCTTCCTGACAGAGGAGCCATAGCTAGCCTCGTTCTGAGGGCGCAAGCAGTCAGCCACAGGAGACAACCGAAGGGGAACATGGTGGAAGTCAGAGTACGTGCCATTGGCCTAAACTTCCGCGACGTCCTGAACGTAATGGGACTTTATCCAGGGGATCCGGGACCGCCGGGGTCCGACTGTGCAGGGACAGTGGTCGCGGTTGGTCCAGAAGTGAAGCGCTTGAAGCTTGGTGATAACGTATTCGGCATAGTTCCTGGATGCCTAAGGACATTCGCAGTGACGAGCGAAGATTTACTGTGGAAACTTCCCGAGGGCCTATCTTTCGCTGAAGGTGCTACTCTTCCAGTTGTGGCAACCACTGTTCAACATGCACTTGGAGACCTTGCAAAAGTTAAGGCAGGCGATAAAGTTCTTATCCATGCTGTTTCGGGAGGGGTCGGTCTCTTGGCGATTCAGCACTGCAAGCGCGTCGGGGCGACTATCTATGGGACTTGCGGGAGTGAAGCTAAGACCAAGTATGTGAGGGAATTGGGTGTGCAGTTTGTGACATCAAGCCGCAAACCAGAGATTTTCGTTAAAGATATGCAAAAGTACCTTGGCAAAAATGGCAAAGTTGATGTTGTACTAAATTCCCTACTCGACCCCTTCATATCGGCTTCGCTTTCATTCCTATCAGAAAATGGCATTTTTATTGAGCTAGGCAAAAGAGGCATATGGACACACGAACAAATGAAGGCGGCGAGGCCAGATGTTCAGTATGAGACTGTTGCTGTAGATCTTATGATTGAAGATAATCCTCGCTGGTTTGCCCTTCAACTGCACCGCATGACTCAGCGTCTGGAGTCAGGAGACCTAACTCCTATTTCGGCAACTGTTTTCGACATGACGGATCATCAAGATGGCGGTGTTGCTGCTTTCCGCTTCCTGCAAAAGGCTCAGCATGTGGGAAAGGTGGTCCTCACTATACCCAGCGCGCTTTCACCTAAGGAGCATACGGCCCTCCTCAAAAAGTCGTACGTAATCACAGGGGGCCACGGAGCACTCGGACTTGTTGTATGTAAGATGCTCGTGGAGGAGGGGGCACGACACATTGCACTACTTTCGCGATCTGGAGAGCCATCGGCGGAGCTTAAGGAGGGAGATATTTGGCAGTATCTCCTAAGCACCCATCCCAACATACATATCAAAAACGTGAAGTGCAACGTAAGCAAGAAGGAAGACGTGCTGAAAGCGTTTAAGGGGCTTCAGTCGGATAAGTGGCCTCCCGTTCGGGGCATATTCCATGCAGCCGGAGTGACTGACGACAAAGCACTTGCAGAGCAGGACAAGGCGTCAATTGAGAAGGTGTACGCTCCAAAGGTGGTGGGTGCTTGGAATTTGCATGAGGTGTGCGATGAGTTGGACTTGAATAAGGACCTTGAAGTCTTTTTAATGTTCTCTTCAGTTGCTGCGCTTCTGGGGAACTTTGGCCAGGCAAACTATGCGGCGGCCAATTCCTGCCTAGATTCCCTTGCATCGTGGCGCCGATCTATAGGGTTGTGTGGACAGAGCATTCAGTGGGGTCCGTGGGTGGAGCAAGGCATGGCAGCTGGGTTGAGGCAGGAGGTGGAAAAGCTTGGGTTACGCGGAATTACTAACGAGATCGGCGTTCGTGTGCTTGTTGACTGCCTACGTGGAGGTGACATGCCCGTCCCAGTTCTTTGCCAAGCCTTTAGGTGGAAAAAGTACAGCGAGCAGTTCGACACGATGCCGCGCTTCTTTGAATATGTGGAGTTGGACGTCACAACTCCAGCGGCGCTGCGTCAACTATATAGTTCGATGACCCCAGAGCAGCTAAAGGAGCATGTTACTAAGGTCGTTATTGACACCGCTCGGCAGGTCTTGGGTGCAGCAGAAGTTCCTCCCCTTGATTCGCCTTTGCAGGAGTTGGGTATCGACTCACTGGGTGCAGTGGAGCTACGCAACGGGCTCGCCCAAAGACTTGGAGTCAAACTCTCCGCAACGACACTCTTCGACTATCCTACTATAGGGGCAATTATAAACTACATTCAAAACCAAATATCGGGGAGTATGTCTCCAGGTACAACAGATATTCCGGCAACTGCAATGTCCGTCATGGGTCAAACGCAGGGACTGGCCGTCATTGGTGCATCATGCAGGCTTCCAGGAAACAGTGATACTCCTGGGTTACTCTGGGAGATGCTGTTAAGGTACGATAGCACTTGCTTCACGGTCAAACCCGGAAGAAACAGCTGGTCGCAGGATATCTAAATTTTCGGCGAGCACCTAGGTATCCAGTTATTAACAACATTTAGCGCAATTTGCTAGCTTTTGGCCTGTGGTCTGCCTGCAGGGGAAAAGATTGCGTCTCAGAGATTCCATTGACTCGGTTTGATGTAGACCTATTCTATGACGCCGAAATAGATGCAAAAGGGAAGATGTACGTCCGCAAGGCAGCTTTCATGGAGAACGCCGAAATGTTTGACAACGCATTTTTCAGCCTTTCTCCAGCGGAAGTTAACTACATGGATCCCCAACAGCGCATGGCGCTGGAAGTCGCATACGATGCTTTTTATTCAGCAGGCTATTCTCGTGAAACTCTGGTGGGAAAGTCATTCGGCGTGTGGATCGGTTGTTGTAACTCAGATTGGCACTTTCTGGAGCAGCAGTCGGATCCTTTCAAAAGCAGCAGTTATTCAGGCCCTGGGGGCTCCGGCTGTCTGGTTTCAAACCGAGTATCTTATGTGTTCGGGATCAACGGACCCAGCATGACGATTGACACTGCGTGCTCCTCTTCCCTCGTTGCAATGGACTCCGCCTTCCAGGGAATCCGCCTCGGATACTGCTCTGGCGCATTGGTGGCTGGAATCAACTTGATGCTGTCTCCACAGCTATTTCTCGCTTTTTGCAAGGCAAGGATGCTCTCACCAGAATGCCGTTGTGCTACATTCGATGCAGCTGCGAATGGTTACGTGCGTGGAGAGGGAGCAGGAGCAGTCGTTCTCAGGCCACTACAAGATGCCGAGTCCCAGGGGCAAAAGATATTGGCAGTGCTGAAAGGAACAGCAGTTAGTCACAATGGCCGCAGCGCTAGTCTTACTGCCCCGTATGGCCCTATGCAGCAGGAATGCATGAAGCTTGCCCTTCGGCACGCAAATGCGAATCCAAAAGACGTTCGGTATATCGAGTCCCACGGTACAGGAACATCTCTTGGGGACCCAATTGAGATGGGGGCTATCCGCGCTGTTTATGGAGTAAATAGGAATGATAGCAATCCTCTGATAGTTGGCGCCCTCAAGTCGTATATAGGTCACTTGGAGGGTGGCGCCGGAATTGCAAATGTCTTGAAGGTCCTAGTCTGCCTTGCACACCGTGCCGTCCCTCCCAACCTGCACTACTCTACCCCTAATCCCTTCATGGACATTGAAGGTTTTCCGCTCGTGTTGCCAAACACTGTTGTTCCACTGGAACCTCCGGCTAACAAGGCAAAAGTGCTCGCAGGAACTAGCTCCTTCGGGTTTGGAGGAGCAAATGCTCATGTCATACTCGAAGAATACGTTGGAAAAGTGGGAAAGGCAGCTGCTACCAACAGTGTAGAAAAGCGGAAAGTTGCATTTTTCTTTACGGGGCAGGGTAGTCAGTATGCGAACATGGGGAAGGAGCTGTATGAAAACGAACCAATTTTCAGGGAGGCGCTCGATGAGTGCAGCAGCATTCTGAAGAGAAAGCTTCCAATTCCTTTGATTGAGGCAATTTACCCAACAAAGGAGACATCGACTGGCTCACCACTACTCGAGCAGGCCGTCTACGCTCAGACAGCAATATTTGCAGTGGAATATTCCCTCCTGTGTCTTGCCAGGGGCAAGGGTCTCGAACCTGATGTTGTCTTGGGCCACAGTATAGGAGAGTATGCTGCAGCTGTTGCTGCGAACATTATGAGTTTGGAAGATGCGCTTCACCTAATAGTCGAGAGAGGGCGGATAATGCAGGGAATTGATCCACGTGGAGGCATTATGGTTGCATGCCGCTGCACACAGGAGGATGCACAGAAGGCGATTGAAAGTCTTGGAGAGTCAGCAAAGACAGCGGAAGTGTCAGTCATCAATGGACCTAGGAGCATTGTGCTGTCTGGTGAGGAGTCACACGTTTTGAAGGTAATTCATAAGCTCGGCCTTGGTGAACGATATAAAAGGCTCAATACAACACACGCCTTTCACAGCAGCTTGGTTGCCGATGCAGTCAAGCCGTTCTCCGAGGCGCTTTCCGGCATTAAACTCAGACAGCCAGCTGTAGAATTCATTTCAACAGCGCTGGGCACCAAAACGGCTGATGAGGTCTGCACTGTTGACTACTGGGCCCTCCAAATTACTCGTCCCGTGAAATACATGGAAAGCCTCCGAGAAGTGATGGAATCTGAAGTATCAATAATTGTAGAAGTTGGCCCGATGCCAACTCTCATTACCATGGCACAACAGTCCTTGAAGGCGTCCGAAGTTCTCTGCGTCTCGCTGCTTGACCCACAAACTTCAGATATGGAGCAGGTTTCTAACAGCATAAACGCACTCTTATCGAAGGAACAACGCCACCATGAATGGAAACGGCAGGCTTTCCCATGGTTTAAGCTCGCAACGCCGCTGGTGGATAGCGTTCAAAGCGAAGGAACCACTCAGGCCACCGCAACAACCGTTTTAGATGCTCATGTACTTGATCTGCTGCGAGACCATGTCGTTAGCCAAACACCCATCATGCCTGCTGCTGGCTTCTTGGAGATTATGAGCAGCGCAGCATTTATGCACTATGACGGTAAAATTCCAAGCACCGCGACTGTACTAACAGACGTAGAATTCGATCGTCCAATGTTGCTTGCCGATCCAGAACGTACGCAAAAAGGGAACGAGCCAAGTGTGGCTATAATTGCCATTGTCAACAAGGATGAAGTTCAGGTCAAAAGCCAGCTAGAAGAAGATGATGAAATGCATGTCCATTGCCGAGCTTCGGTCACCCTTTCTCCGGCCGACACTGTCTTCGACTTATCTGAAGGATGGGGGTTCTTGGAGGAAGCTAAAAAACGCCTGCCGCAGGCTGTTCCTCCCGATGAAATCTACAGCGCAATGGCGTTGTCTGGACTGCAATACAAGAAAAGGTTCCAGACTATACGTGAGGCATACAGAAATGAAACTGAAGCAATTTGCAGGCTACAAGTTCTGCAGCCGTCTCTTCCATTCGAAAGGAACTTCCGTTTCCATCCAGCCTTGTTGGATGGTGCCATCCAGTCTGCCTCTCTACTGCTTGACGACGTGCAGCCAACTCGGCCTATGGTTCCTGTGGGCATTCGCAAGGCAGCCATGGCCAGACTTCCACCCGATGTTGTTGTTTGGAGCCACGCAGTCCTGAAGAAGAAAGATTCAAGCACCGCCGTCCTAGATCTTACTATATTTGGAGGTAAAGGGAGACCGTATGCAATGCTCGATGATCTGACGCTACGTGTTGTGGACATGTCTCAGCGCGCCTCAATCCCAAGGAATTTTCTTTGGGAAGTCAAATGGAGTCCACGCTTCCCTGAATCGGAAGCAAAGGCAGCTGTATCCACCACAAATAGCGCCGGTAGTTCTCCAGGGCACGGCGGGGGCCAACAGGATGATATCGAGACCCGCACAACATCGCCACAATCAGATTCTCACCCTCGGCGAGCGGTTCCTATTTTGCTGCTCAACTGCCCTGAAGACTTTGTGGAAGGTATGAAGGGATACGCCAGTTCAACGCCTTTCCAGATGGCTTCAGTGGACGCATTGCAAGGTGCCTTGGACCGAAAGGGGGCAGAAGGCAAAGTATTCCGTGGAATTGTTTACATGGGCGCACTGGGAAAACTGCGCTCGGAGGTCGACTGCATTGACGATTGTCTGACTATCTCTAAGGCTTTGGCTCAAGCTCCAGTTCACGTTGAGATCCCTCCAACATTTATCCTTACTACAGGGCACGTCCAAGTCACAGAAGATGACGCCGTCACTAATCCAACTCATGGTGGTGTCTGGGGGTTCTGCCGCTCGGCTAGACTTGAAGTCGAAAACATAATAGGGAGACCGGTACAAATTGGATGCCTAGATGTAACTCCAGAAGCAGCGACGACACCCTCGATAATTGCCCACATTATTGATCAGGCTATGCCCGATGATGACTCTCCCCCCGAAGTGGAACTTTGCTTCCGCAACGACGTGCAGTATGTCCCTCGTTTGACGAAATCTCACATTGAGTGCCGTGGTCCAGTCGAACTCTTTATGGGTAACCGTGGAGCTTTAAGCATGCTCAAGCTACGCCCTTTGCCTGCCGCAGCAAGGGTCGATCCTCCAGAAGGATGTGTTGAAGTACGAATACGGGCGGTCGGTTTGAACTTCCGGGATGTGCTCAACGTTATGGGGTTGTATCCCGGCGATCCGGGTCTACCTGGAGCAGATTGCTCAGGTACTGTGGTGCGCGTTGGACCTGGAGTGAACAGATTCAAAATTGGTGACTGTGTTTATGGAATAGTCCCAGGCTGTTTAAGGAGCTTTGCCATAACGTCTGCTGAACTCATACGGTTGATGCCTGCTGGTTTCTCATTTGAAGAAGCAGCTGCGCTTCCCGTGGTTGCATCCACTGTTGAATATTCCTTGGGAGATCTAGCTAAAGTGAAGGCAGGAGAAAGAGTACTGATACACGCTGTCACTGGCGGTGTAGGTTTAGCAGCGGTCCAATTCTGCCAGCGCGCAGGCGCCATTGTCTACGGAACATGCAGTGGCGGCCGCAAGGCCGAATTTGCCAGGACTTCGGGGGTCGAATACATAAGCACCAGCCGAGATGCAGCTGCATTTGCAAACGATATGCGCGAGTTCCTGGGGGAGGATGGGCACATTGATGTAGTGCTGAACTCTCTCGTCGATGATTACATCCCAGAATCCCTCAAGCTCTTAGGGCCCAACGGACGTTTCATGGAATTGGGCAAGAGAGGCATTTGGACTCACGAACAGATGAAGGAAGCCCGTCCAGATGTATATTACGAGACCATCGCTGTGGACACTATGATGGAGGAGGATCCTGCATGGTTTGGTGGCATGCTTGACAGAATCCGGGAGCGTGTGGAAAGTGGTCAGCTCAGTAGCCTTCCGCTGAAGGTGTTTGATATGGAGGACCCCGTTGAAGGAGGAGTGGCGGCATTCCGGTTTCTGCAGAGGGCTCAGCACATTGGGAAGGTAGTAATTCGAATGCGTAGTGCCCTGCAAACGAGCAGTGGCACAAATAACAAGGAAGGATGTGCTGAATGTCCTGTGTCGCCGACGGCACTCAGAAGCATTGGGGACGCTGAGAAGACATACATTATATCTGGTGGTCACGGAGCACTCGGGCTTGTTGTATGTAAGATGCTCGTGGAGGAGGGGGCACGACACATTGCCCTTCTCTCGCGATCCGGAGAGCCATCGGCGGAGCTTAAGGAGGGGAGCATTTGGCAGTATTTGTTGAGTACTCAGCCTAATATTCAAGTAAAACACATTAAATGCGACATAAGCAAGAAGGAAGACGTACTAAAAGCGTTTAAGGGGCTTCAGTCGGATAACTGGCCTCCCGTTCGGGGCATATTCCATGCAGCCGGAGTGACTGACGACT